CTAAATCATCAGTGAAACTGTGTTGATGAATCTGAATCGGAATAGACTGATGAGGGATTCTACCCATAATGCTTTGAGCTGCATGATAAATCAGTAACAGTGAGATGTTATAGAGTCTCTTCTTTTGTCTTCATGACATTAATACTGCAGCTGAACTTCTGTCTGTGAAATAACGTCAGAATAAAAGTGTGTAATAAATCCTCATATAGACAATAAGATAAGTGTGTATGAGTCCTGCTGAGTGACCATGTGTTTCTGTGTTTTCCTCATTTAGTTTTTAGGTTTTCTTGATTGCTAACACAATTCTTGAAACAATTTACCATTTTCTCACAACACAATCTTCAAACCAACTCGTACAAACCTCAAACTTTCAGATCAATTTTTTTTTTCTTTTGTCAGAATGAAACTTTGGCCTCAGATGACACACAAACCTGACAAATACACAGACTACTTCACTGCCTAGAGAACACTAGTGAGCTCAATTCAGAACGCTGTTACAGAAAATCTGCTTTTGGGGATCAGGAATAATTTTGCATTTAAGTTAATGTGTATTACAGTATACAGCATAAACAGAGGGGTGCAGATACAGTGAAATTTAGCAATAAACTTTAAGAAAAGTTGACTTTCATTAAACTACTGTAAAGAAATCTCCAGTAGGTGAAAAGCAATAAGAAAAATTTAAATGGCAAAGATTTAAGTTGAACACACAATGCAGTATACAGTCAATTACTCTACAGCAAAAAACTAAACGAATAAATAAATTCAGCATCCGTCTGTGAAAACAGGTGAAATGTGTTAAAAGTTTTGATGAATGTGTCTTTATTACCAGAACTGAATGAATGGTTTGGGAAATTGGGCCAAATTAATCAGTTTATTTTTACAAACGCCAGCTGGAGTGCCCACGAGCTCTGCTAGAGGGCACTCCATCCCATACACTTTGCCATTCACCTCGGACTCCATTTCCCATAATCCTTTGCCTGGACTCATCAGATCTCATCATCAGTTCACAGCTGTCTCATATT